TCAGTTCCCTGTTGAAATATTCTCCTCAGTTTGCGCGGCACAACAACGCGAAATTATGTCTGAGCGCATTCAAATATTAGAAACGGTTCCTTCTGTTACTAACATATAAGCTTATAGTGAGTTGCTTTTTTCTTTGTTGATTTGAAAATATTAGCCAGTGAATATTTCGCGAAGTTTCCCTTGACTATTCCGTTAACTGTCGTTTGAATTCTATGCATTGTCAAACAAACGGCACGAAGTAAACAACTTTATTCCCTTTAGCGTAAGTCATGTAATCCTGTTCCGCAGATATCTAAGACCTATGATCCTGAAATATTTTTAGGTAACACATAAATCTGAATTTCAAAGCAGAGTTGTAGCGAATCATTTCACTATATACTCCCCAGGAGCAAGCAAACCTATACTGGGAATATTTATAGAGATCTAAACGTAACACTGACCGTATAAACTGTGAAGCGATATGCATGTGGCAAATATCTTCACCAGACATGGGCATACAATTTCAGAAACACTGTGCATACATCAGGTAGATACATTCAGTATGAAATTGAAGTGTTTTGTATTACTGTACCTCGGATAATGCATCTAGAAATCCACCTCAATGAAACACCCCCCGGCGTATAAATTCAGGTATAGACGGTTGGTACAGCATGTCCGACGAACTACAAACGTCAGTCGAAGAGCCGTCGAAGAGGGGTAGAGTGCACATTCAACACACACGCATTCCACTATAAATGCATCATTTACTTTTATTAGGTGCTGTACGGTATTGCTAGACCAACCAAAATAATGTACGAGGGTTGTCCTTGAATAACTGAGTACAATATTCCGGCGCTTTTCTCTCCATCGGCCAAAACACTACCCGGTCCGAAAGTCAAATGATATTTCCTCGCGTGGCGTAACTTCATCTCCAGGTACTATCCGTGGTGCACAACAAGGCATCTTTCAGGGTTTTTTTTCTGAAGAATCAGCCGAAAACATATCAAGAAGTAAAGCTGAATAGACGATAAACGTGAAAATTTAAAGACAAGGAATAGCAATGTACGCAAAGCGGTTTCAATCCAAGACAGAAGTCGACTTTCCAATATGGCGCAACATCCGCCATGGAGCGAACAGCAGTCTTTTCACAATCAATTTTATTCGTTTGTTAAACATTAAGCCACGGGCAGGAGCATGTTAAAATAAGAAAGACCACAAGCCATTCATTTTGAAGGCTCAAGAAGGCGCATCTCAGCTGCGAGGAGTCTGTGCGCCATTGTGCAAGCATCTCGCGATTGGGGGAACCGTTTACGGGCGCGAAATTCAAATTTGGTAAGCTAAAATCTCGGATTTGAGCTATGAAAGAGGCATCACTGGTGTTTTTTGGTTTTATTTCACAAGAGTGAGTATTTTAAAGTAAAATTAAAGAGCCCAAGGTAGGATTCGACTTGTATTTTGTATCAACGATTTTTCCCCTTCTTGCTCGCATAGTCCGCCATCTTTGATTAAGCCACTGAAGCAGGGATTTCGTGACAAAGAGGGGGAGGAGCTATCCCTTTTATAGTGCAGGTCCCTGTTTAAACGTAAGTCTTCTTGAAGCCTAGCCAAACAAACTGACAGCTCCCACATAAACATTACTACCTATTCCCTTTTTAGCAACTGATAATATTTATTATCTTTATTTCAGGAAACTTCAATAACGATAGTACAACTCAAACAAATGAATTGTACGAAGGACTCTAAAAGACCGGCGGTTACTCAACAAAAGCTTCAACAATGTGACTCAATCAAACGCGACCCTGTTCGTGCAGTTTGTCAAAGAAATACACCTACGTAAATAAAAACATTTAAAAACAAACGTGTCTTTCATATTTATTTTGCAACGCAATTTCTCTCCATGTAGCTCACTAAATATGCCAATCTTCTTTTTGAGCATTGCACTTGACACCACTGTCAATGAAGCGAAACAATCGAACAATGCCATATCATGTTCAGTTATTCAAAGAATTGTTACAAAAAAGACTTACGAAGGAATGTTACAAAGAATGCTTCGACGACGACAATAATGGGCACTTGCGCAAGCGCAGTACCCATAACAAACCACAGACAATCGATCAAATCAATAACAAACCACGGTTTCCGAATTTTAATGGCCGGCGCTTCGATATCATACACAATAATGTAAATCAAGTCGATAAAATAGCAATGAATCAAGCCTTCGATACGAAATCCTCCCTTCGACGCGATCGCAATGAATAATAATAATAACTAATTTATATAGCGCTTATTCATCGCTGTTCTAAGCGCTTTACAAAGTATAATGGATAAAAACTAATGAATCAAGCCTTCGATAGGATACCCAATAAATCTAGCGTTCGATGCGATCAAAATGAATCAAGCCTTTGATAAAATACGGGATAAATCTAACCTTCGATACGATCGCAATGTTTCAAGCCTTCAATAAGATACGCGATAAATCTAGCCTTTGATACAATACATGCATACATACATCGATCACAATGAATGAAGCCTTCGGAAAGATGCAATGATCTAGCCTTTGATACGATACGCAATGAATCAAGCCTTCGATAAGTTACGCGATAAATCTAGCCTGCGAGCAAGCTCTCTTGGCGTTTTTTGGAGGGAAAATAGAAAGAGCGGGGGAAAGAGAGCTTGCACTATATATATAATTATGTCTCAGAATTTTGAATGCCGCCCCTCAAAACCCCCCGACGTTTCCAGCTGTTTGAGCTGTCAAAATTTGGTCAATTGAAACTTCGTGGTCGTCTCAATTTTCTACGTAACGCAATGCCTTGTATTCGATCTCACACGCTCGAAAGTCGTTTCTCGAAAATTACTAAACGGATCGAATCGAAAAACATCTCTATCGAAAGGGGTTTCAAAGCGCAGGACAGCTAGAATATTTGTTCCCCGTTTGTTAGAAATTCCGCTCTGAAATTTCTGTTGCAAGATTTTGCATATTTAATTACAAAAGCCAGTGTGTAGTATTTTTAAACCTTCGATACGATCGTAATGAATCAAGCCTTCGATAAGTTACGCCATTAATCTAGCGGATCGTTTTCTGTACTTGCCAGTAAGTTTTACCCTGGTTCTGTCAACACGTTTAACTACATGAACATTATTGCTTGTTTATACATTGGACCTTCGGTCCCATCGATTTGGCAACAGATCGTAGATAAAACATTTGACACATACGCCATTGACACGCGAGGTGTCACTTGCGAGTATATGCCATTGACTCTCGCGAGAAACGAGACGTCTCGCGAGAAACGAGACGAGACTCGCGAGAAACGAGACGAGACTCGCGAGAAACGAGACGAGACGGTGTTGTCTGCAAGATTCCATGTGAATGCGGCAAAGTATATATCGGTGAAACAGCGATATCGATGCGTGAAAGAATAAAGGAACACGACAGAGACATGCAACTTGCAGGTACTCAGAACTCCGCAGTTTCGGAATATGCCAACGAGACTGGGCACCTTCCTATTCTCGGTTTTCACTGTCACGCAATCAATAAAAAAAATCAAAACCGTTCAATGAATGAAGTCAAGGAATTGACATGTCATAGATAATGAATAAATAAGGAATCAGTCCAAGTCTCAGGTCTGTGCGGTATTCCTTACTCGAGTTATTTGTCAAAATGTTCCACACAAATTTATAGAGCTCAGTATGGAAACGCCATGTTGGAGTCCCTCTGATCAAGTAGTCTCCACACTTTAATTTAACATTACTTTGTTCTTTTTGGTTTTAACTTGGCTTGTGAAGTCAGTCACTTTCTCAAAATAATGAATTGATACTTTTTTCTTCAAGCTTAACATAACTGATCAGTTTTGAAAAAAAAAAAATTATCAATACAGTTCAATTCACATTCCTCAAGTCTTACAACTCTGTTTCTATAAATTACATTCTTCATATTTATTAAGATTAGATAAATAATAAATTTATCTGGCAAGTAAAATTAACACAGTTTGTTATGATGTGAATTTTATTTTTATACACCCTTCCCAGTTTCTTCCCTTCTATCCCCACCATCTTTTCCAAGCTGGCTAGTGTATTTTAAGTAAATCATATTTAGTGACAAAGACTTTACCACTTCCAAATGATAAATCAACCTAGGGAAAACCTTGCAGTACACACATGTACGCGTTGCGTACCTATTTTAATTACTGTTTTCACTTCACTTCTAATCGCTGGTGGTATTTTAAGGCATAATGGTATTTTTGTACTCGGTTTTGGTTTGTCTTGGATTTTGTGATACAAGGTCATTTGTTTTCTGTTATTCGTCGTAGGTTCTTTTGTCAAAAAAGTTAATGTTATTAATGTAGAATAAATTATTTTTGAAGGATTGTACCTCAATTCCAAACTACGTTATCGTCACTTCTAATTCACTCCTATATGATAGTTTTGTAATAATATAATACCTTAGGATATAGAACATGGCATGAATTAGGTCTGGCTGCAAACTCGAGAGGAAGTACTTTCGAATTATTCCAAACTTTCTCAGTGTTTGTTTCAGGCTATCTAAACAGGCCGTTTTTCCATTTATTTTATAAAATAAAGTCAACAAAATGAGACGTCCTAACCGTCATAAAACGACTACTCAACCAATCAGAGCGCGTGTTTTATGATCAAAACTTAATAAATGACTTTGTCAGGCGGAATGTGCGTTGACAAGAGCTGCTCTCTTCTTAATTGGGTATGCTGTTGAGTTAATCAGTATGAGATACTGCACATGTAAAAAACACGTGTTAAGAGAATATTTTAAGAAAAGTATCAGGCCAAGGTGGTCCACACTGCCGACTGAAACTTAACTCGCGGTTTCTGTAGCATGAATCCGACTAGGAGTATTGATTGCCTATTTTCCTGGATGGGATGCTAGCCCATCGCAGGTTACTACCAACATTTTGCATTGTCGGCGGTACCCATGCATTTATACTCCTGAGTGGAGAGAAGCACTCGTCTGTGAGAGTAAAGTGTCTTGCCCAAAAACGCAACACAACTGAACCCCGGCCAGGGCTCGAACCCGAACCGCTCAATCCGGAGTCCAACGCACTAACCTTTAGGCCACCGCTTCTCCCATCTTCTGTACGCATAATTAGTAATTCACGAGATCTGTTGTGTTACTCCCCTGACTGGCAAACATGGATTTCGCATATTACAATACATTCCCCAAGTCACGTGTTCTACAAGATCATATGTTCCACAAGGTCTTCAATGATCATTCTCCTCGACTTGTACGTATACGTTTAGCAGTCAATAACTAATTACCACCTCCCTCCCACCCTCGTTTATGGGTTCTTCCCCTGTTCCCTCCAACAGATCTGGCAACAATCTGTCTCTAAACAAACCGGGGGATCTCTGTTTAAACCTGGAGATTTATTAAAAACACTTAAATATTGCAACATATAAAAGTCGCTAAATCGTGATAATATAATGATATTTAAAATTTGCCTTGACTGAAAATGCCATGACCTATCGGGGGATGTCGGTCAAAACCGCGAGGCCCCAGAGAACAAGGCAGATCTGCAGTGTTAATTATTACCCAGTTCCTAAACATACCAGTACTGTTTGGAATCCTAGCCAGGCGAGTCAGTGTGTAAAGGAGGTATTGGTAATAAGGTCGACTGAGTTGCAGCTTTGTTAGTTTCTTGATTCGTTCGCCTTGTGTTCCACCCGCCCCGACATACAGGATCGGGCCCCCATCCACCAAATAGAATCGACGCTTGTCACCTATGAATACAACAATGTTAATATATTAGGGCGTTTTGCCGGCCATTAGTGGGGCTTATTGGTCAATAGCCTGCGTAGCAGGCGCTGGGAGCGCTGCAGTAAAATACAGAGCGCGCGTTGGAGGGGCGCGTACGAGGAAAGAGAAGCGCGAGGCGACAAAAAGTGAAAGATCTCTTTTCTCGCCTCGCGCGTTTTCTTCCTCGCGTGCGCCCCTCTAACTCGCGCTCTATTTTTATAGACTTTCTCAAAGTCGTTCGCTTCTCGTTTCCGGTTCCGGTTGGGAGTCGGTCCCGGCGGAGCTTTCGATCGCGCTCCGCGCTCGCTGAGCTCGACTTGTAGGCAAGTCTATCTATTTTACTCCAGCAACTGCTACGCAGCTGGCTAAAACTGTAACATGTTTGCGATTTGGGGTTTTGTCTGTTGGGTAATGTCACTTAGAACTATTGTGATTTCATGGAACAATCCACGGAAAGAAAAAAGATGGCGGCTGTACATTTTACCACAATACCTTGCGAACCTAACACAGCCAATAGGCACATCTGAAAGCCATATTTCTGCGAAATTCGTCCCTGTACTAACAACATCGTGTATGCTACGGTTTGAAGTTTTTGGAACTTTTTCTGTGCGTTTATGAGCGTTTTTAGGGTTTTCGTACGCTAAGAATTGTGGGTAAATGTACCAGTCGCCATCTTTTTTCTTACGGTGGATTATGGCGAAACAGGTTCATCCGTTGAACCTCCATAGCATGTAACAGCCTTAACTTGTAGCTAACTAACCTGAATGAAATTCCAAGATGGAGGCATCACCATGAGCGGCGTACACGACGTGCAAAAACGCCTTCACTTCACTCATCTTCTGATCTTATCCAGAGACCATTGCTGTGTTTGGAGAAAGACACAATTGGTGGTTTTCATCAACATTACAAAAATAGGCCCGCGACGCGTGCTCATGGCTACTGCAACTTTTACTCAGAGAATGCGCATACATGTAGCCCATGAACCGAGTAAACGGAATGGGTTACGGACTCTAGTGATTTCAATCAGTAAGGTGGATTCTCGGAAATGCCGTGAAAGTCGATACTAAAACATAAGATGCAGTCTCGCAATGGAATGATTACGATGGGAAATAGGAATACGGATGAACGGAAGATGGACTTGTTTACAACTGTATTTGGGCTAGACCCTTTGCTGTTTTAAAAGGATTAGTCTTCAAGGAAATCAATACTGAATTGAGGTTAGTTTACTTAATATTTAGTAAATGTGACTGTGACCCTCCATAGGAAAAGGGGGCTTATCGCATCAGCGTTTCAAGGCGTTTATATTTGAAACGCATTTGAAACCCGTTTGAAATAATTTGAAACCCGTTTGAAACACATTTCAAACAGTGTTAGAAACGTTTACTTTTTTCAGCGTTTGAAACGTGGAGAAACGCATTTGAAACGCCCATCTGTCAACAACCTGCATTATTATTACCACTGAAGCATAATTATTCGACAACACAACAAATGCTGGACTGAAGATGGTAAACGGTAACTTTAGGCGTTGTTAATGAAATTTAAAAAAGCTAGATAAATCACGGTGGTGCAGTCACACTTTTTACTTTTGATTAAAAGTTCAGTTATATTCCATCGTTAGGTCGATCAATAAAATAAACAACAAGAAAGTTTTTATAGAGTGCATATAGCAGTATTCTCAAAATTAACGGAAATGTCAACAAATGTGATGCGTGAACAAGCTATGACATTATTTTTCAACTCCTGTAATTCTGTAATTACCTTTCCTTTCGAGTATGAATTCAAGATCGTACGACATTCCAATGCATGAATTAGTATTCTTGGAGCGTCGTCTCCGTTGATTTAAGCTTCATCTGAGTCTCAACCATCGAAAACCTTCCACTCGGTTTTCGTACAATATGTGGACAAAGTCAATCAAGTAGTTCCGTATGCGAAGCCGGTCGCTTCGCCAACAAGTTAACTCGCCCACACTGAAGTCAACTCGCCTACATCATGTACCTAGTAATTAATTTGTTTAATAAGAGAACAGCGCGTAAAAGTGTTCTAAAGACGCTAGAATAATCCTGGGTAATAACCTCGTTCTAAAAGCATGTTTACGTGTAATACGCGAAAGATATCAAGAAAGATAACAGGAATATTGAGGTGTATTTCTTGTTCTAAAAACGTGTAAGCGAGCACGTACACAGTATAAACATCATTACATGTGTATAAATTGACGATCTTGCAACGTTTTTCAAACACTTCGCAATGCATTGAGCGTGCACCTAAAACAGAAACGCTCGGACAAGGCTTGACATGACATCGACAGCTAGCAGACAAGACTTATAACCGCAGATCGAGCATAACGCACGCAACACTGACGTTTGTCACGGAGGCCCATCAGTTCTATGCCTCGATTCCAAGTGAAACTAACACAGTACGATAACTCCTCGTTTTCTTTCCTGTAATGTTACAACAATTTACCTCAATGTATTAACTCCTCTGTAACATACTTGTAACTCTTGCGGGTCGAAGACGTCAGTGTTATCTTTTATAGTTTAATCAGTCCGCCGATCATCTGTTCACAAAAGCGCGACATTCTTTTGTATCTTGAATGAAGGAAATGGCGGTCGATTTTTACATACGTTTGTAGTTCTGTTTCAATTTTTATGGCTACTGCGCTTGCGCAAGTGGCCATTATTGTCGTCGTCGAAGCATTCTTTGTAACATTCCTTCGTAAGACTTTTTTGTAACAATTCTTTGAATAACTGAACATGATATGGCATTGTTCGATTGTTTCGTTTCATTGACGGTGGTGTCAAGTGCAATGATTAAAACTGGAAGATTGGCATATTTAGTGAGCTATATGGAGAGAAATTGCGTTGCAAAATAAATATGAAAGACAAGTTTGTTTTTAAATGTTTCTATTTACGTAGGTGTATTTCTTTGACAACTGCACGAACATGGTCGCATTTGGTTGAGCCACATTGTTGAAGCTTTTTTGAGAAACCGCTGGTCTTTTAGAGTCCTTCGCACAATTCATTTGTTTGAGTTGTACTATCGTTATTGTACTATCGTTTCCTGAAATAAAGATAATAAATATTATAAGTTGCTAAAAAGGGAATAGGTTAAATTAAGATATTTACTAAGAAGGACGGATAATTTTTTTTTCTAGTTAGTAATGTTTATGTGGGAGCTGTATTTGTTTGGCTAGGCTTCCAGGAGACTTACGTTTAAGCCTCACGCGCGAGGGGTGAAGCCGCAGAGTTTTTGAAAATCATTCCGGCACAGCTTCAGTTGTTTAAAGAGTGATGAAACAGTATAAAACGAGCAATTGATAACTGAAGAGATAAATGAAATTTCTACAGGTAAAACTTCATATTCGTTAAGCCTTGGGTTGCGATAGACTCATTTAGTCACACGCGTGAGGGGTGAAGTCAGAGAAGAAAGTATTGCTGAGGGACCAAATAATTTTGTTATGCTAGCGTGAATTTGCAACTCTTTGAAAATCTTTCAGAGCTTCAGTCGGAAAGGCTGATGTGCAATTTATTTTTAGATCCTGTTATGTCAGCGCGAATGCTGCTGTGTAAACAAAGATATTACATGTTAAATTAATATCGTTAAACTGTATGACGACAATCAGAAGAGTATGAGTGATGAGTGATTTGAGAATTTTGTTATGTCAGCATGAATGCTGCGAATGCTGTTGTGACAAAGATCAAAGCCGCGTATTGGATTGCAGAAAAAAATTAATTCACCGCGCTTTCGGGAGTCTGGCGTTGGACATCGTGACAAAATGATATTTTCAAAACGAGGAATGATTTTAATATGAAAATATCTTCTAAAATTATAGACGAACTTATCTGCTTGGTTTGTGAGAAATATCGAGACCAATTAAATCTTGGTATGTAGACGAAAGATAAGATCGTCTCATTTGTGTTTCAAGTCTTGTTAGATGTACTGATCAAAATGACATGAAGGCAGATAAACTGAACAGAGTTTGTTGTCCGCAACTGAGAAGTCGGCGAGCTAGTTTACGAGAGCAGAGTGTTGCTAAAAGTGACCTGAGAAATTTGTTACGTTAAACGTGAATCGTGTAGTGTACTGTAATTACCCTCTCCAGTTAGCTATGATATGAGCAGAGTCACCTCACGCGCGAGGAGCGAAGCCCGGTGTGGGGGGGTGTGGGGGGGGGGGGCGGTACTCCCAAAACATTTGGGTAGGGGTGTGCCGCTGGGCTATAAAACCCCTTACCCTGCACCAGACTACAAAACGCTAATTTTGCGACCCTGTTCCACACTAAATGTTAAAAAGATACCCAGTTCCAGACGATTTTTTCTAACCCAAAAGGC